TCCATCCATGCATCCATCCAACCATCTGTTAATCTATCCATCCATCCATCCATCCATCCAATCAGCCATCCATCCATCCATCCATCCATCTATCATCCATCCATCCAATCATCAGTTCATCTGTCCATGCATCATCATCCATCCATCCAATCATTCATCCATCCATCATCCATCCATCCATCCAATCATTCATCCATCATCCATCCATCTATACAATCATCCATCCAATCATCCATCCATCTGTCTGTCCGTCCATACATTATCCATCCATCTGTCTGTCCAATCATCTATCCAACCATCCAACCATCCATCCATCCATCCATCCATCCATCCATCCATCCATCCATCCAATCATCAGTTCATCCATCCATCCATCATCATCCATCCATCTATTCATCCATCCATTATCTACATCTTGTTCTGTAGTCAGGTAGTGTGCAGCAGCTTAAGGACTTTAATTCAACACATTTTCAAGCATTAGAATATTTGATTCATTCAGGACATGCAAGTGCTTTGATTTTAGAGTTTGTAACTTTGGTACGTTTTAAAATTATTATCTTTATACAGTAAATCTTCTTTCATTAAAATAAATGCAATTATTTTTGTTGTAGCATTTACATTTTTTATTCCCATTCTTAACTTTTAGTTATTGTGTGCTAAATTCAGGCTTTATCTGTGGTGTTAACTTTACCTTTTAACTACTGCATTCCTAATTTTAGCTTGCAACAAATGTTGCTACATTTAGCTATAGTTTTGTTAATTTTAGTTTTAAGCTATGGTTTTGTTTATTCTAGCTTTTAAGTACAATTTTCCTTTTATTTAGGTTTTTAGTTTTTAGGTGCTACTTTGCTCGTTTTAGCTATAAGTTGTAATTTTCTTTATTTTAGCTATTGTTACTGTTTTGCTCATTTCATCTTTAAGCTACCGTTTTGATGGTTTCAGTTGCTGTCTACTGACTTTCACTTTTAGTTAGGGCTTTGTTCATTTTTAGATTTTACATTTTTGCTCATTTTAGCTTTTAGCTATTGTTTTTCTAACTTTATTTTTAACTTTCACAATTTAGTTTCTTCTTCCTGAACACATTTTAGCAAAGTCCTTCAGCACTGCTTTCACTCTGCATTTTTTGCATAAAATTCAAGTTATCTAGATTTTTTGTTGGTTTGTTTTACTGAATTTAAAGTACTGTATGTCATCTAATGCTAATATATCGCCACATAAACATCCTTCTTTTATTTTTCAAATCCAATAATTTATTAGCCTGAATAACATTATTAAATTATCGTTATTGGAAAGTTAGTGGTGTGTGTATTTTCACTGAAATGCAACACAAAAACCTCTATGAAGAGACAAAACATCATGTTTTCTTTCGAGAACACCAAATCTTGCGGGCAGCGATGAAAAGAAACTAAATAAATGTCATTTTACGTTCACATCAGACAGACATCTTTCAGTTCCCGTCATGTGGAAAGCATAATGCACGTAACGCACACGAGGCAGCTGGGTTGTGTTCATGAAATCAGATTAAATCAGGTTTTCCTGAAGACTCAGTTTGATGATGAAGTTTGACAGGGCAGCTGGAAACATCTGGACTCCAACCTGATTTCTGTGACAGGACTCACCTGCCAGCGAGGCCTGCAGCAGTGTTCCTCTGCAGCAAGCAGACTTAAAGGCCAAATAAAATGACTCCTAGTTCATTTTAGGATGCAAACATGGCACGACCACAGGCCTCACTGGACCTCATCGATGTGCAACTTGTTCATTATACCCACAGTCCCGTCATAGGATGCTTTCTGTCTCCCACGTACAACTGGACCACCTTGGGATTTCCATTAGAAAGAGTGTTCTGCATATCAATGCAGGCTTTAATTAAAAAGCTGTTATATTCAGTGGCTTCATAAGCTGCCTGGAACTGCGCAGGTTTTTCCTCCTCCTCCATGAGTGGGTGAAACGCTGCATTTGGAAACCAAATGAGATCATTGTTGCCGGGCTCGGGCCTTTTATCCCATCTTTTTGTCCTTACTGACTGTCACCCTTTAGTAAACACTTGATGTTGTCATCAGCATTAGCACCATTACTCATATGCTTTAAAAGGTGACTCAACGCAATTTTGTCTCTTGTGGAAATTACAAAATACACCTGGGGAGCGTTCAGTGTTGTAAGAAATAAACACGTAAACAGATGGTAATGATTTGTTATAAAAGTCTTGTCAGGTACAAGAAAGCAGTTTCATTTAAAAGAAACAAAAAGAGATGTTTGTCAAAAATCATTATCAAAGGAAGTTTGTAATTATAATTGCTGCTGCGCAAATTATTACAGTGAACCCTCGTTTTTCACGGGGGTTACGTTCCAAAAAGAACCCGTGATAAGCGAAATCCGTGAAGAAATAACCTTTTTTTTTTTTTTACAATTATTATACAATGAAATACTCCATAATACATTTAAACCAAAGAAAAAAATCTTTTTACAGGCCCAAGCATTTGTTCAACAAATACAATTACTGTATAAATGTTTTGTACAAATAACTACTGTACTGGAGAGACTGTTTAGCCAATCAGAATGCAGAACACAATGCACGATGCAAATCCGTGAAGCAGCGAGACCGTGAAAGGTGAACTGTGTTAGAGCGAGGGTTCACTGTATACCTGAAACAACAGATCTTTGAAGGGGATTCTGTGGGTTAGATACAAATATCTGTTGTAGATGGTGTCTTTAACCACCTCAGTTTGGAGAAATAGTTTAATCTGACCAATGTCTAATCCAGGGGACTGCAATTTACGGTTCTGGAGGTGCATGCAGTTCTTTGGACTCTGCTGTCGCTGTGACCCAAGAAAACTGTATGTGTGTGTGTGTGTGTATATATATATATATATATATATATATGCTGTATATATTTATATATACAGCATATATAGCAAACACAAAACACAGGAATGATGTGTAAGGTGAGGTGTTCCCCTACATATGGGATCATACAATGATCACAACACATAGCACTTGCTATTGAATAGTCAAAAGGAAGACAAGGTGTTTAAATTCTTTTGTCAGGTGTATAAAACAACCTATTCTCAAAAGTCCACTTAATAATAGTGTAAAAGAACACTACATTAGCCAATATTAACGCTCGACACTGGCGGTGCAGAGGATACAAAATTTTTTATTAAGCCTTTATTTATCCAGGTAGTCTCATTGAGCCACAATAACTCATTTTCAAGAGAGACCCGTTTAGGGAGCAGATGGGGGGTTAAGGGCCTTGCTCATGGGCCCAAAGTGGGGCGAATGAGGGTGGAGGAAAGTGTGGGTGCTTCACCTATCCCACCCACATTTTTGATGTTGTCGGTACCTGGGCGTGAACCGACGATCTTCCGATCACAGGCCCATCTTCTCTAACCTCTGCGCCACCATTCCCACCAATAAATGAAGTACAGATACGGTATGTGTGCTTTGTGTTCTCCATGTTTAATGAAATGAGTCAATAACCTCTCAAACAGCGATTCAACTGCTTGTTGTGGTTTTAGTGGCTCCATGAGTAATTCATTACAAGTCTACAAGCATACACTGTACTCTTTTTTTATTAAAAGACTTCTAATCAATTGGTACAAAAACAGTTTTCTCCACAAACAGAGACAGTAAACACACAATAACTTCACCATGTTATTAACAGTCAACATCATTAAACGGAGAATAAAGTCTGCTATTAATGATGGTGTTGTTCCAGTGGAAACGTAAATACTCAGGCACAGAGAAGGATCTCTGGAGAGGAAACACTGGCAGCTATAAAAAGAAAAGCAGCAGTGGCAGACTGAATAAGAGCTGAACTCTGCTCGGCCTCAAACAGGAAACTCTGTCCTCATCACCTCTGCCAAACGGGGATCAACCTCTGACAATGCAGCTTGTAGGTGCTGAAACTGGACAAAAAAGAAAACAGAGGGTGGAAATGTTATGTTTATTTTCCACAGAAGGCTGTAGTCTGTGGCAGCAGTTCATTACATCAGACAAGCTCGAAAATAAATCTGCTTTAGGAGAAAAACAGGTAATGTTTTACTTCTATATATATATATATATATATATGACAGTACGAGCACCATCACTGTTTAACTCAGTGCTTTGTGCTGAGCGTTTATGGCAAAACAAGTTATTAGAAAACTGTGGCTACACATACAGTTCAGCAGAGGCCGTAGTATTTCAGCTGATTTGATCCACTGCAGTGTTTTACAACCCAACATTTACAACGTGGTATGAACAATGATCTGACTGAACACTGGTACACGCCTCAGTGGATCTACAATTTAAAGTATAATGAACTTGAATTTTAAAAATCAGACACCCTTTTCTAATAGTTAAAGGAAACAACATTAAAAAAAATCACATTTCAGATAAAGAGGAAATTAAGAGGCTCTAGATCATAGTTATTTTTTTAATGCAACTAAAATAAATATGAAATGGATACTGCATTGCTGAAGCACATCACGCTGTCCCGGGGGAAATAAACAAAGACATGTAATGAATTCACTCAACCTTTATATGCACTTTATTCTTGTGGATCTTTACAGGTTCGACAGTTCGATCATCCAGGTAGATAAATCATGAAAAAGGATTAAATCACATCATCTGGACAGTTTCTTTTTGGGAGAAATGTTTCATCTTTCTGCTGAAAGACTTCATCAGTCTGAGGCCTGCCAACCAGATCTGCCTTATATAAATATCACCTCCGTGATGTGATTCAAGCCCTCTGTGGAATAAAGTTTCTCACAAAAAGAAACTACCCAGATGACATGATTGAACCCTGTTTTTGTGTGGATCTTTACCTATTTATTTTTGGGTTGTATTTTTTGGGTTACTAGTAATTGCGTACACTGCTTATTCTGAGATTATTGCTGGTGGTACTTTGTGAAGAATAATAATAATGCTGCGGATGCTCCAACGTTATCTCGTCTTTATAACAGTGGCAATAAACTATTAAGCTTATTAATCTGTACCTAAAACAGTTTCATTAACTTAGTTATATTATTTTCTGCTAATAAACTTTTTCAATTATTCATTAAAACTAGTCTTATGTCCGGCAAATTTTAAAACTTTTTAAGGCAAGTCTAAAGTCAAAATAAATCATATTTGAGATGTGAGGGTTTATCATGTCTAAAAGTCATCAGATTTTTGTTAAGACTGTATTTTTTACAGAAAATCTAATTGGACTTTTGTTCAGACACTCAGACGTAAATGAAGCCTTCGTCTGTGAGACGACCGGTCACACTCATTGCTCTGCAGATAGGTCGAGTCTTTCTTTCCCTCAACTTGCAGGAAATCCTATAAGAAGAAAGAACTGTGTCTCTGGTCTATGTTTGAACCATCAGATACATTCAGTTGTCTCTTGATCTTCAAAATGTTATAGATTTTTAACACTGCCTTGTATTTTGGTCAGCTTGATGTTTATATTAACGTAAACAACACGCACTTGGTATTTAAATGACCTGAGTGTGAGTTTTGGCTTATGGTTTATCAGATGTAGGTGGTTACAGACTGTAGAGTGGAAATAACAAACAAGCTCCTTGTGTTCAATAAAAACAAAATGTACGACGACATGTGGTGTTTCTATAAATCATTCTGGAGAGAGAACTTACTGAAGTCTTAAACTCGGGAAGTAAACAGGAAGCAGCTGCGAGACAAGTCTTCTCTGTCAGGTAACCTTCTTTTATCAAATCTGCAACGGTATCCTAGAATAAACAATACATAAAATACTGGACTTTTACTACCTGGATTTTTTTTTTAAATCTCATGAAACGATGCAATCAGGATGTGTAAGTTGAGAGGGGCTGCTCTTACTAAATCTTACCTTAGACATCTGACTGCACAGGTCAGCTAGAAACTCGGTTGTGATCTCAGCCAGAGCACTCAGCTGTTCATCGTCAGCATCTTCTTTATTTGTGTCTTCATCTTTGTGGTACTGGCACGCTTGGAAAATGGTTCCAATAAGAGGCAGACCTACAGACAACAAATAGGATTTTAAGAAGACACTACTTTTCAATTAATTTGATTTCTAGGTGTTTATCATGGAAAATGTAATTGGACTGTATACATGTGCATCTAAAAAATGTGAATAACATGAATAAGTTACATTTTTTTCAGTCATTTCAGAAAGTGAAATATTTCAAGCCTTTATTTCGTGTAATTTTGATAATTACATCTTACAAATAATGAAAAAACAAAACTCAGTGTTTCAGATAATTAGAATATTCCACTGGTTTTGGTAGCTTTGTCAGTGTGGTCCGGTGCTGAGTCCTGCTGGAAAATGAAACCAGCATCTCCATAAAGCTCGTCAGCAGAAGGAAGCATGAAGTTTCTAAAATGTCCTGGTAGATGATGTGTTGATGTGGACTTCAGAAAACTCAGTGGACCAGAACCAGCAGAGGACAAGGACCCAAACCATCCCTGACTGTGGAAACTTCACTCTGGACTTCAACAACATGGATTCTGTGTCTCTCCACTCTTCTTCAGACTCTGGGACTTTGATTTATAAATGACATAAAAATGTACTTTAATCTGAAAAGAGGACATTGGACCACTGAGCAACAGTCCAGCTCTTTTTATCCTCAGCAGGTAAGACGCTTCTGATGTTGTCTCTGGTTCAGGAGTGGCTGGACTTGAGGAATGAGACATTTGTAGCTCATGTAGGAGTTAATCAGCTGATCAGGGTGAGACACCGGGAGTTTATAATATTGAACCTTTTCACAATATTCTAATGTTCTGATACACTGAATTTTGGTTTTCATCAAAATTACAATAAAAAAAGGCTTCAAACATTTCACTCTCTGTAAAGAATCTATATATGAGTTTCACTTTCTGAAATGATTGACAAAAAAATCTAACATGTTCATATTCTGTTTTTTTTTTTAGATGCACCTGTACATATATGGTAACCATTGCTTTCTGTGTAAATAAAATGATATAAAACACAGAAGTCAGTCTCTATAACCACCTTTAGAGTAAACTGAATGACAGCAGAACAGTGGAGCTGATGGAAAACTTACTTGCATCACTTCTGCTGCACCACTGACTGTGACATCTATAAAGAGCCTGCAGCACAGAAAACGTCTGAACCATCATGCTCTTCCGCTCATGAAAGACAACTGAAAGGTCGTTTGTCTGACAGAGATCCTCGCACACAATGTCACAGACAAAGTCCCACACTGATTTACCCGGCCCATCAGGAGCAGCTAAAGGAAACAAATACACAACAATATATCCATTAGAGCTCACTTCCCTCTTCTCTAATGTTGCAATAACTCTTAAACACCTTGAACTGCTTACCAAAAGCCTGAAGGCCCTCATCTACAGTGGTGAGCAGCTGGAGGATGTGAAGGTAAACCTCTAGGCCATTTGGACTCTCTGATCTATAAAAATATTAAAACTGGGATTAATAAAGCATTTTTGAATTTGAATGATAATACAAATATAATGTTGGGATGTGGTCTTATAAACCCAAAAACAAACAGCAGGTGCCATTTTGTTGTTGACAATCACACAAAGGCAACAAACTCTTTAAAACTGCTCTCACATGAGGTCTGATGGGCACTGTGCTGGAGCTGCCATTTCTAAACCGAACCTGGAGTATAACCTGGATTAGGGCCAGGCCATAATAATGTGCTTAATGTGCGGGCCGGTGTCGGGCTTTTGATTGCGTCAGTGGATGCGTATAGCTGACGATACAATTATATGGCAACATGGCTTGCCATAGATTCACCAGCCGCACGCCACCATTTGGCCGCACGCTGACCGGCCTTGAAAGAGGTAAAAAGTTCAGTTGAGCTTCAGATGGGACTGTACTACCAGGCAGCGATCCATCAAAGCCCAAATGGACGTTCATGCAGCCGCTGCACTCAGCGAATGCGTGCGGCCGACGACCCAAACAGGTGAAATCCCAAAATATCCGACATGTCAGAGCAGGGTCCGTGTCTGAATAATGCAGAATGCAGTCAGAAGCAGGGCTTTAATGCTCGTTGACGACCATGAAAGGACAAACACCCCGTCAGCTCCAATCTTCTGCCCCTTAGCCGTGTGTGTCTGACGACCGTTAATAACTATATACGCTGTCAAAGCTTAATTAAAAATGTCAAAGGGGGGGGGGGGGGTTGGTTTCGGACCTGTAATTACTGTTAATTCATCGGGTCGGGTTCGGAAATTATAGCTACGGGCTGGGGCTGGGTCGGGTCACATGTTTGGGGCCCGAATGCAACCCTGCACTGTGACACACTATAAAAACAATCATTTGAGGGGAACGCTTCAACAAAAAATGAACAAAAATCCCTTTCTGTTTGAGGCATCAGCTTTTATTTGAATCTTAGCTTGAGCCAACATCAACAACTTTAGTAACAAAAAGATGTTTATATCAAATTCCAGGATATCAAATATCCTGGAATATCTTGTAAAAAGATCTGAAGCTCCCGACCTTGACCTCTCTAAGTGGCTTTAAGAATCTGTTGGACTCTTGACAGGGACCAATGCTGACATGTTCCTGTTTTTACTTTCCTACATTCGCCTTATAATCCAGCTGTTTTGTTACTTTTTGGCCATCTTATTTTAATTTGTAAAAAAAATACAAATCTGTATGCCTCTTTTATAATTGTCCATTGTTGTCATCATTCTTTGTTAAATCAAGTCTCTTGTAAATGTGTCCTCGAGGCTCAATGGGATTAACCTGTTTAAATACAGGTTGGATGTTTGAGACTACTAAGAAATATTGCCATTAATGTCTGAAACTGGTTTACAATTTTGTCATTATATTTTATTCTTATATGTTTTGTCCAGATTAACATTTACTTTTTTTATTTCTTAGAGAAACTAAAGTTGTTTGGATTAGATCCATGAAGCTCTCGTTACTCTAAAAGTGTGGCCTGATGTATGCTGGTGCTTTGGACACACTTGACTTCACTCGTCCTTCACCTGACAGAAATTTAACAACATAAATTAAACATGAGCCGACCTTACACTGCAACCGCAGCATGACAGATGAATTACGTGGGGAAAGATGGCTGAACTAAAACGATTCTGCTCGCTGCATTTGTAGAGGAAAATGCTCCAAAGCCAGCAGAAGTCACAGAAATATCAATAATTTAGCACAATGAGAACTGATGTCTGTACCTACTCAGCTTGAAACCTGATGAGGCCAAAGAATAAGCGATTCTACTGGACGAGCCGTAACTTTTTAAAACCCTGCCTTGACCTGAGGACACTTTGAATCTGCACTCTTTGCTACAGATAGTCTTCATGTCATTTTCTTCATTAACGAAGTTAATATGAATTTATTTTTCTTGACACCTTGATATAAATATCCTGCATCCAAATTTTTATCTAAAAAAATAAAACTTTAGAGATAATTGTTCCATCACTCAGCGACTACTGGAAAAACTTGACCACAGTGTGTGCACGTGTTTATCAGACCCCCCCAGCAAGCACAGCGTCTCCCACATCCTGAAAAAAAGCATCAGAACTGTTTCTCTCATTTAGTTCTCACCTCAGCTGTTTAGCTGCTTCAAGGAGACACAAAATCACATCCAGCTGGTTTTGACCGTCCTCTTCCTCCTCGTCCTCATGTGGCTGAGATGTGATCCAGCTCTCCATTAATTCTTCATCGAGGTCAAACAGTTTGTCAACCAGCTCTCCCACCTTCTCCAATAGGTCCGCTGGGGGGGGGGGGGGGGGGGGGGAGTGGGTTATTTACTATTATTTATTTTACAACCACAAAAAGCTTCAGCAAGTGTTTTAATTAAATAACACGTAGACTTTGAAGACACAATATATATATATATTTATAATTATTTAGTTTATAATAGGAAAGTAATGATAAAAGTAAAGTACTGTTGGTTGAACTGCTCATGATGAAACACAAGTTGGAGCAAACAGACGCCTGTTGTCGTATTCGATGGAGCCAAAGGGAACAGACGTCTTTCTGAGACAAACACATCAGCAGTAATCTGAAAACATCATCAGACAAGATTAATCTTTCTCTCTTAGACCCTTTTATCGACAAGTCTACAAAAATGTTAAGATGCTACCTGCTGGTTTCCAGGAGAGTTGGAGGATCTGCATCTCCAAGAAGAAGCAACAGCACAGCACTGTGGACACACAGGGAGGTACACTGATTGTAATGAACCTATATAAGCTTTTATTATACATTAGAGATGACTGTATCCACTTACCCTAAGTCTTCATTTTGGCTTAGAGCCTCACATGTGTCAGGAAAACAAGCAATGTTTCCAAGGATTCCAACACAAATTTCCTAATGCAGAAGAAAACTCAAAATAAATTTAACTGCACATGAAAAAGGTAAAATGACACACAGGATTTTGTTCTGGTGCGATCTGTAAAAAAGATTTCACTCACTGTAAGACGTGGGCATCGGGACTTGGCGATGACACCAAGGAGGATATCAGCCACTTTAAATTCTTGCAGAAAACCTGCCACATCCTGCAACATAATGCACCCAAATATTCAAAATATGTAAGTAATGATTCATATTTAAATGGAAAATATGTTTTAGTTAAGTGGAAAACATAAGATGTGGGTGCAACTTCTGCTAGATCTGTTTTATTTTTCCTATAAGTAAATCTTGCATGTAGATAAACTAGGTAAACAAGAGATCGTCATCTTTAAAAATCCATTTAACCATTCATCGTTCTTTTTTGGTACAAAGCTAGTGTACAATCCAACAAATTTTAAACAATTTATCATTTAATTTATTAAATTTCCTTCACAATTTGTCTTCATTTATGTATCAGAACATTGCCAGTCGAGATGAAAACGGTGCAATATCAATGAAAAGCTGCACCTTGTCCATTGCCATGTCCCAGACTTTACAAAGATCTTCTTCATCATCCTCAGAGAGCTGCATCTGACCTTCAGAGTTTTCTTCTGAATGCTTTGCGACCATCTGCAAGACAACACAAGTTTACAGACATTTAAATAGTTTCCAGTAACAGTGTCCAGCAGAAGGTCTGTATGTACTACACAAAGTTAACAACTGGCTGCTAAAGTAACTGTTCAGGAATTTATAAAAAACCAACACTTTAGTTATCATTTTGCATATGCATACTCCAAAGTATTTTGTATACAGAATTAAAATACAATTTCCACCCAAATCTAACTATCTCATGATTATAGAGAGTTATGAAGCACCCAAAACTGGCGAAAATTTGCATAAAGAACTGTGTGCTTACATTTATAAGGCGTGTCAATGTGCTGAAAAGCCAGTGCTTGCTGTAAACAGTGTCCCCAATGGCATCAAGGTCTTCATCCTCCTCTCCATCAGCTTTGTCCGGAGGTGGTGAAGGATTACGGTCCACAGCAGGAGACAGCAGACCAGTTTGAGGTGAGGACTTTGTTTCTTCTTGCTCATCACCATCAACACTACTGTCTTAAACAGACACATTGCCATGCACATGGGCCATACAACACCAAGATTGTCAACACCAATAGATTTTGCAATTGCGGTGCTATTAAAACAGTAAAATGGAAGAACGATTCTTTATTTAAGCGTTAATTAAAACTGTTGGAGAGTTAGCTTGTCGCAGCATATCGTCGACGAGGTTGTATTTTATTATTAGCTTTTACAAATAAACTTTATACAATTCAACTCACCCATTGCGGCTGTTCTTGACAAAATTAATTACTACGTAAATACCGAAATTAAAAGTTTTAGGACGTTTAAATTCTCCAAAAGCTCAAACGGTAGAGCGGTCACTTTCCTGCGCATGCGTATGACGTCTTGCGCGTTGGCGAACACCCGCATGTAAAACAAACACCGCCCCCTACAGGAAGCAGGCGGAAGTGCATGCTCTTCCACTAATGTCCATTCAGAAAAAATACAATTTGTTGATCTCATATACAGTGGGGAAAATCAGTATTTGATACACTGCCGATTTTGAAAGTTTTCCCACCTACAAAGTATGAACAGGTCTGTAATGCTAAACTGAATAGTTTTCATGTGATACTGTTTCTATCTTAACATGTGATTCTTGACCTGCCATTGTGTATCTGTTCTTACCAAACCCAGCCGGTCGAAGCAGATGGCCGCTTGTCCTGAGCCTGGTTCTGCTCATGAGGGCGTTTTTCCTTTCCACTGTCACCTTCATGCTTGCTCAAGATGAGAGTTCTGCGATGGAGTTAAACTCAAAGCAGTCTGCTCCTCAGATAAATACTGTTAAATTATTATTTTGATGTATGAATGTTTCTGTTAACTTTATTTTAATTTATGTTTAGTGCCCTGAGATGACTTCTGTTATGACTTGGAGCTATATAAATAAACTGAGTTGAATTGAATTAATGTTTATCGTAGGTACACTTCAACTGTCAGAGACAGAATCCAAGAAAAAAAAATCACATTGTATGATATTTAAATAATTCATTTGAATTTTATTGTATGAAAAAAGTAGTTGATACAATAAAAAAATAGAACTTAATATTTGGTACAGAAACAGTTTTTTGCAATTACAGAGGTCAGATGTTTCCTGTAGTTCTTGGCCAAGTTTGCACACACTGCAGCAGGGATTCTGCCTCACTCATCCATACATATCTTCTCCAGATCTTTCAGGTTTCGGACTGTTGCTGTGCAGCATTGAGTTTGAGCTCCCTCCAAAGATTTTCTATTGGGTTCAGTTCTGGAGACTGGCTAGGCCACTCCAGGACCTTGAAATGCTTCATACAGAGCCACTCCTTAGTTGCCCAGGCTGTGTGTTTCAGGTCATTGTCATGCTGAAGACCCAGCCACGACCCATCTTCAATGCTCTTACTCAAGGAAGGAAGTTGGCCAAAATCTCACAATGCATGACCCCATCCATCCTCCCTTCAATATGGTGCAGTCGTCCTGTCCCCTTTGCAGAAAAGCACCCCCAAAGGATGATGTTTCCACTCCCATGCTTCATGGTTGGGACAGTGTTCTTGGGTCTGTACTCATCCTTCTTTTTCCTCCAAACACGGCGAGTGGAGTTGATACCAAAAAGCTCTATATTGGTCTCATCTGACCACATGACCTTCTCCCATGCCTCCTCTGGATCATCCAGATGGTCAATGGTGAACATCAAACTGGCCTGGACATGTTCTGGTGTCAGCAGGGGGACCTTTTGTGCCCTGCAGGATCTTAAACCATGATGGCATAGTGTGTTACTAATGGTTCTCTTTTGAGACTGTGGTTCCAGCTCTCTTCAAGTCATTGACCAGGTCCTCCCCTGTAGTTCTGGGCTGATTCATAACCTTCCTCAGAATCATTCTCACCCCACGAGGCGAGATCTTGCATGAAGCCCCAGACCGAGGAAGATTGACACTCATCTTGTGTTTTTTCCCATTTTGTAATTATTGCATCAACATCAAAGTTCATGCTCAACAATCTAGGTAAATAAATCCAACAATGTTCAGTCAGGTCATCTGGACAGTTCCTTTTTTTGTTGAAAGACATTTCACCCTCCATCCAAAGAGCTTCATCAATCTGAGGAGTCACAAACAAACTGTTTTCCCCACCAAGCAGTATACTTCTACAGTGGACCAACCAGTTTGCTGGTGATAAGATGGTTTCTGGGGGCTGTTCTCTCCCCCGTCGACTCCTCCCAGGCAACCACAGCCACAGTGACAACAAAGTCCATGCTCAATAATCCAGGTATACAATCCAACATTTTTCAGTCAGGTCATCTGGACAGTTTCTTTTCGTTTCAGCACAAAAAAAGAAACTGTCCAGATGACCTGACTGAAAAATGTTGCACAGCCATAGTGGTTCAAGACATCAAAGTTCATGCTCAACAATCCAGGTAAAGAAATCCAACAATGTTCAGACATGTCACCTGGACATTGCCCTTCGGATGGAGAGTGAACTTCTCTCAACAAAAAAAGGAACTGTCCAGATGACCTGACTGAACATTGTTGAAATTGCGTCAACACTTGATGCCTTCTCACTAAGCTGCTTGCCTGTTGTCCTGTAGTCCATCCCAGCCTTGTGCAGGTCTACAATTTAGTCCCACGGTGTCCTTAGACAGCTCTTTGGTCTTGGCCATGGCGGAGAGGTTGGAGTGTGATTGATTGAGTGTGGATAAGTGTTTTGTATACAGGTAACAAGTTCAAACAAGTGCAATTGATACAGGTAATGAATGCAGAATAGGAGGGCTTATTAAAGAAAAACTAACAGGTCTGTGCGAGCCAGAATTGTTGCTGTTTGGTAGGGTGATCAAATACTGGTTTCATGCAATAAAATACAAATGAATTATTTACAAATCATTCAATATGATATTCTGTCTCTCACAGTTGACGTGTACCTACAATAACAATTACAGATCTCTCCGTTCTTTATGGGAAAACTTTTTAAATCAGCAGGGGTGATAATCCAGGACATTCCTGCAGCCAAGAAGCAATGCTGACTAACACTGCTCCACCGGGCGGTCCTACAATAACATCTCTAAGGAAATTTAATATCTGACCTCTGTAGATCTTAAAAAACAAGATTTTTATGCTTCAGCAGCTCAATTACATTAAGATTTAACTAAATAAAGGCTAATAGAAGAAAATAGGAATTGTACTTTGTATTTAATCAAGAAATAAATACAATAATCAAGCTTGTATAAAAATAAAGAGAACTAAAATATCCACTCATTCATTCTCTTAAGTCACTGTTTGCTCACTTCCTGTAGCGTTTAACTGTGGATTTGTTCTTTAAAGCTGCTGGTGTTGACCTCCAGTCATGCAGGAGGAGTTGGTGCAGTGGGAGTCGACCTGTTGATTTGTGCTCGTATCATTTAAGATTATCTCTGGCTGCAGTTTGGGTGTTACTTCTGTTGAAGAAGGGATTTACCCTGTGTAGGGTTTGGGATATGTTTTAATAGCACGACTTACATCCATAACCTGCTCTTTAGTGCACAACAACCCTGCGAGCAGGACAGCTTGACCTTTGACCAAAATATGTTGTGAACCAAAGAGCAAATTTTAATTAAACTTACAGAAAGTACAGCTGACAGTAAGATGGCGACTACAGCTAGCTAAGTGCACCCCTGAGCTGAGGCTGATACCCAACAAATATTTTGAGCATTAACAGATTGCTCAATATGTTTGTTTAAAATTGTGACTGTCCGTTAGCAAAATATCTTGTGAACAACTTTTTCAATTTTAACAAAACTTTTAGAAAATAATCAGTGAATGTACCTCAACTACTGATTGACCTTTGGAGACAACTCAATTCAAGATGGCCGCTACAGCTATCTAAACTTAGAAAGCATACAAATGGCTATAATTCAGTCAATCTTAGATATTGTGCTAAAAGTTGGTGTGGTAGTAGCTGAGAATCCTTTGCAACACATACTCCAGATAATACTTATTGTGCAAGACTTTTGCTTAAAACTTTAGCATTACCTAATGGAATCAACCCTGTTTGTCTGTTAGCAAAATATCTTATTAAAGTCAAAGTTTCTTTATTTGTCATTCACAATATCACATGTGATACATGGGGTGGAACGAAATTGTGTACACAGGGTCCAGTTACATCCAACAAAAGTATAAATAGCAAAAGAAAAACAGTAATAAGATCTAAGATATAAACTAAGTTAAACACTAAGCACTAGTACAAAACCATACGTCGAACAACAGCAGCACAAACATGAGTCTTTCAGAATCAGAATCAGAATAAACTTTATTGGAATTGCACCGAGGTACAACACGAATATGTACGCAGAGTCGTCCAAAAGATGGGCGGAGTGCACAAAGCTGCAACTGTAGAAAGCGTGGCCATTTTATCCATATCAGATAATAATCTTAGATAGGAAAAGGGGGAGAAACATGAGGGTAGATAGTGGTATTACAAAAAAAGATCCTTCATGTCTTGTCTATCAGGACACGATTTGAGACATCAAAAAACTCTACCAGCAGCACAATTAAAACATGATTACATTTGCATTTGACATCGAGGTGTTGAGATTTGTCCATGAGCGTTTTTTCAGATCAGCTACAGTTTCTGAAGATGTTGTTCCAGCCAGCAGTTCTGATAAGCTTGCACAGAAAGTTCTCAGGGGGGGTGCGATAGATGAAGCTTTTGTCCTTGGGTACTCATGTCCCAGGAGAAATTTGATAATCGGCCTGTCTCCGAGGCCGTCGGGAGTCAGATTCAGATAAGCTTGATTCTTGTTTTTCTTCAGGCAGAGATGACTTTTTTCCAGCCTTGAGTCCATCTGGGCGTTGTGGTTCCGAAAATACCTAATTGTGGGATTCCATTCCACTGATCCATGCTGTGAGTCTCCTTCAAGGTCAAACCCACCACGCTGATGAGTCCCAGAAGCCGCAGGTGGCCTGCGATTCTCAATCGCCTCCATCTTACGGTTAAGCTCGTAAACCTGACGATTCAAAGTTCCCACAGCGAGGCCCAGACCTTCACACTGACTCGGAAGCTTTTCCATGGTTGAAACTGCTGCCGCCGTCTGTTCAGAAGTCGATAAAACAGAGCCCCACCGATACCAAAAAGCAGAGACCCTGCTATCATAAATCCAAATATGTAAACGTTTTCAACATCCTCCTGAGACAGGACTGAGAGACACATCATCTGCCACACCCCCCACGAATCCATGACGTACCCCACAGCGTGAGTCTCAGATGGACACGCAGGTTCTCCAGGACCTTGTCGCTTTGATGAAAAAATCTTATCAATAGAGTTGAACGCCCACGATACCACAAATCCATAATCTTCTTAATTTATGTTCAGGAGATGAGACCCAGGCGCTTCAGACACACAGAGAGCAGATGTGAACAGATGAGTA